CGCGACTCACTATCTATCGACCAGTCTCACCACCCGTGGATTCTATTATCCACCGTACAGTCGATCCCACTATGTGCGTAGCGATCTCACTATCGATATTACTATCGACCGCGTGCACCATGAAGCATTTATGTATCGACCTCACTGTCGACTTGCTTATCTACAGGTCCCACGATCGATCCATCGACACGAGACACCGCGAGACACCACGGAACACCATACAAGGTCACAGGGCACCACGAGACACCACGGGACACCACAGACAAACCACTATCGATTCCACCAGCGACTTTCCACTGTTCGATCTCCCGACCGATCATGCTACCGATATCACTCTCGGTCTCGCCCAATCGATCTCACAATCGAACTAACTTTCGATCTGACTATCGACCTCCATTGGCCACCACGAGACACCGCGGGACACCGCGCCACAGGACACCCTGGGACACCGCGGGACACCCCCGAGCCATCGCCGGCCAACCGGGGGGAGGAGAGAGAGTGAGCCCAGTTTCGCCCTAGCCAGGGCGGGATCATTCCTCTCGCCTGCCCACGTAGCTTCGCCTCGCCTTCACGCACGACGCGAAACCGAAACCGATTTCCCAGTGGGGGCTCTCCGTTGCACTGCGATCTCACCCCTCAACCCCCGATAAAGTCTTGGAGCTCCGCGCAGATTTCTTGGATCGGCGCTGGGCCCCCCTCCCCGGCGCGCGGAGTGCGCTCGGGGCGGCGCCGAATGCGCCGCCAGGGGGGCCAAGCGGAGATCCGCGAAATCCGCGCGGAGCTCCGAAAGTTTATGGTAATGCAGTGTTTGTTCCCCTCTGGGTGTCGGTACGCTCGTCGCTCGCGCGCTGTGGAGCAGAGTCAGCGTCTCGATGCTCGAGGCTCGGAGCTCGAGGCTCGAGGCGCGAGGCACGGATGTGAATGCGCTCGTCGCTCCTGCGCTGTGGAGGAGCGTCAGAGATTCGCCCCCGAGCGCCCGGCGCCGCGCCTGAGGTGCCTGCGTCCCCCGACGCCCTCGAGCGGGCCCGTGTCGCAGCGCCCGCCGCCGCCGCCTCAGCACCGCAGCCCGCGGAGGACCGCCGTTGCCGCCCTCCGCGAGGCTCGAGGCTCGAGACTTGAGGCTCGAGGCTGGAGGCTCGAGGAACGGGGCTAGAGGTTCGGGGCTCGAGGCTCGGGGCTCGGGGCTCGAGGATCAAGGCTTCGAGGCTTCAGGCTCGAGGCTCGATGATGATGATGATGATGATGATGATGATGATGATGATGATGCTGATGATGATGATGATGATGATGATGATGATGATGATGATGATGATGATGATGCTGATGATGATGATGATGATGATGATGATGATGATGATGATGATGATGATGCTGATGATGATGCTGATGATGATGCTGATGATAATGATGATCATGATGATCATGATGATCATGCTGATGCTGATGCTGATGATGCTGATGATGATGCTGATGATGCTGATGATGCTGAGGTTGATGCTGATGATGACTATGATGAGGAAGAGGATGATGCTGCTGATGATGATGGCAATTATGATGCTGAGGATGGTCACGCGGATGGTGATGGTGCTGATGCCATTGATGATGACGATGCTGTCGCTGATGATGATGCTGCTGTTGCCGATGACGATGATAATAGGGCGTTGGATGAGGAGGAGGAGGATGAAAGGAGGCAAGGAGGAGAAGTGGGAGGAGGAGGACCACTGCAAACCCAAGACACATCAACGATATTGCAATACACCCTCCCTCCAAGTTCCCTCTACATAGGTCCTTGCAACGGGCCGATTTCACTGAGGTAAGTGTTCTTTTGGAAGCCAACCGTCTGAACATTATGAACCGTACCAGAACACCACTACTGGGTCTTCAACGTCGCGGCTCAACGTTACTGTTGCGTCTGAACGATTTGGAACCGCGCCATAACACCAATTCTGGGACTTCAGCACCGCGAAACAACGTAGCTGATGCGCCCTGACAATCCAACACCGTGCCAAAACACCATTTGTGGGACGTCAACCATATTAATCCGTACACTGTTTGCAAACGTCTCAGACCAATGTGCGCCGCGCTAAGGCGACAACCGCATTTTGAGCAGGCACCACCATCCATCCGTGAAACTCTTGCAAGCTTTCAAGACGAATGTGCGCGGCGCTAAAGAGATAACAACATTTTGAAAACGAGCCGCCCTCCATCAGTGAAATTCATGTAGTTTTTTCCCACACATCCAGTGGTGTTGGGTCCTCGGTTTAAAGAGACGGTCCCCGCGTTCCCTCCTTCCCTCCCTCCTTCCTTCCTCCTCCTTCCCCCTCCTCCCCCTCCTCCCTCTTCCCTGCGTTTCACCCACCCAGTACAGCGTTCCGTGGCCCCATAGGGAGCTCCACCGAATGCCCCAGTGCCACCGCCTGCATGCGTCACGCACACCCGTCTCGGCGCACACCTCACACGCTTCGTGGCTCCATAGGGAGCTCCACCGAATGCCCCAGTGCCACCGCCCGCATGCGTCACGCACACCTAATTCGGCACACCCTTCACACGTCTCGTGGCCCCTCAGGGAGCTCCACCGAAGGCCCCAGTGCTACCGCCCGTATGCGTCACGCACGCCCGTTTTGGTACACCTCTCAGACGTTTCGTGGCCCCACAGGGAGCTCCACCGATGGCGCCAGTGGCTGCGTTCGCAAGCGCCCACCGCACCCATTCCGGCACACCCATCACACGTTCCGCGGGACCATAGCGAGCTCCACCGACGGCCCCAATGGCTGTGTTCGCATGCGCCCACCGCACCTATTTCGGCACACCTCTCACGCGTTTCGTGGCCCCACAGGGAATTCCACCGACAGCCCCAGTGGCTGCTTTCGCATGCGCCCACCAGGCAAATTGTGGCACACCTCTCACACGTTTCGTGGCCCTATTGGGAGCTCCTCCAAACGCGGTGCACACAACGACGGTGTTCACAAGTGCATATGGTTCGGTCCTTCGCCAGGCTAACTGAGACGAGTGTGCGCGGCGACCAGGCGAGAACCACATTTTGAAACGAACTGCCCTCAATCCGTGAAGCTCTTGCAAACCTTTACAACAAATGCGCGCGGCGCTCAGGCGAGAGCCACATCTTGAGAGCGACCCCCCCTTCAAGTCGTGTCCTTGTTGCACATTTCGAATCCAGAAACAGAAGTTGTGTGGAGGTCTTGAGCGACACGCCTGGCCCGCCCTACCGACACGTCTCGGGGTGTGACAGGGAGGACTTATTTACAAGGGGCACGCATTGATGGATGGATGTATGTGATGACGATGCTGAGGATGATGGCGATGCTGATGATGACGATTCTGATGATGATGGCGGTGACGATGATGATGATGCTGATGCTGATCATGGTGATGATGCTGCTGTTGATGATGCCGATGCGAAGATGGTGACGATGATGATGACTATACTGCTGCTGTTGATGATGCTAACGATGGTGATGATGATGCTGATGCTGATGACTATGATGATGGTGATGATGATGAGGATGATGATGACTATGATGATGCTGATAATGATGATGATGATGCTGATGCTGGTGATGGTGCTACCCATGCTACTGATCTGATGGTGATGATGGTGGTGGTGGTGATGGTGATGACTATGATGATGACTATGATGATGACTATGATGATGATGATGATGATGATGATGATGATGATGATGATGATGAGGAGGAGGAGGAGGAGGAGGAGGAGGAGGAGGATGATAATGATGGTGATGATGATGATGATGATGATGATGATGATGATGATGATGATGATGATGATGATGATGATGATGATGATGATGATGATGATGAGGATGATGAGGATGATGCTGCTGCTGATGATGATGATCATGATCATGGTGATCATCCGAGCTGCGTCCAGCCGCGGTGACGAAGGGCCCCCGATGGCCAATTACCGTTGTCTCAGCTGGCCCTTCCCCGATGTCTTGCCCAGCGTTCCGTCCCCTGCGGGGCTGCCGGGGGCCACCTCCGTGCGGCACTCCACCAGCCCCGTGCTGGGGGGGGCCGCCCGGGGGAAACAAAATGTAAGTAAAACGCATGCTCCCAAGCAGCACCCAGCGCACTGCGGGGCTGCTGGGGGTCCCCGCCCGCGCGGCACTCCACCACTTCCCATGCTGGGAGGGACGCCGGGTGGACCCTTCCCCGGGGGCTCAAGGCCGGGCGCCCCCTGCGTCAGCGTCGGGCGTCAGCCGGAAGCCCCCCGGCCGCGGGGAGGGTTCGCAGGCCGGGCGGTAGGGAACCCGCCTGCGAGGAGGTGCCCGCGCCGGGCGGCCAGGCCGGGCGCGGCTCCGTGACCGAGCGGTGTCGTCAACCGGCCTGGAAGGAAGGAGGAGGAGGAGGAGGAGGAGGAGGAGGAGGAGGAGGAGGAGGAGGAGGAGGAGGAGGACAATGGACCAGTGTAAACCCAAGAGGCATCAAAGATGTTGGAATAAACCCTCCCTCCAAACCCACTTTTCATAGGCCCCTGCAACGGTTCATTACAACCGTTTGAAGATCCTGAAGCGTGCCAAAACATTGTTTTCGGGACTTTAACCGCACGGATCAACCTGACTGCTGCGTCGTGGTGATCTGCAATTGTGCCGACAAGTCATATTTGGAATTCCAACACCGCGAAGCAACATAACGGTTGCACCCGCATCATCGCATCATCCTGAATCTTTCTAACAACACCCATTCTGGTTCGTTGATCTTGGGAAGGCGTTGAGCTTTTCCATATTTCATGAACGAATGTGCGCGGAGAGACACATTTTGAAAAGGAGCCGCCCTCAATCCGTGCAGAGATAGGGCACCGTCGGATTCTATGTACGATAGCCATTTGGCCCCAGAGGCTTTCGGCTTGGATCGGACTGAGAAAAGCATCAGCAGTTTCTCTCTTCATGGTATAGCGGAGCCTGGTTGGATCCTCGGTCTGAGAGACCGCCAGGGAGTTCGAGGGCTAGCTGGTCGCAGCACGATATGGCCACCAACGAAGAGTTGTTTCGACAGATGCAGGCCTTGACCGCGGAGGTTCAGAGGCTTAGCGAGGAGAACGCCCGACTGCAGCGTGAACAGCAAGGCGGACTCCAGGCCATCCCGGCCCTCGTAGATGCGGTGACCCGCCTGACGAGTAGACCCGAGCAGTTCCAGAGGCTCGTCGACACGAAAGGGATCGGCAAACCATCAGTGTTCGACGGGTCGGAGTCCAAGTACCGCGAATGGGCTGCTAAGTTCGAGTCGTTCGTGGTCGGAGTATTCGGGGAGCAGTTCAGGGCAGTGCTGGAATGGAGCGTGGAGCGACACGACTCGATCGATCGCGGGCTCTGGCAGGCAGCTTTCGGCCCGCACAGTGACGGCGAGATCGACCACATCGACGAGATGGTGGCTCAGCTGCACACGGCGATCCAGCAGCTCGTGACAGGCGAGCCCTTCGACATCACCCAGAACGTCGACAAAGGCAACGGGCTCGAGTGCTGGAGGCGCCTCGCGAGGAGGTTCGACCCTTCCACCGGCGGGCGGAAGCGGAACTTGTTGAAGATGGTCCTCTCGCCCGGGCGCTGCAAGCTCGAGGAGCTCGCGGGTGCCCTGGAGAGGTGGGAGGAGGCCGTGAAACGGTATGAGTCTAGGAGGGACGACGACGGCAACCGAGAGCGGCTCTCGGATAGCGTGCGTATGTCTGCCTTGGAGAGCCTGCTACCGGCTGAGCTCGAGGAACACGTCCTTCTCAACCAGAGCCGCCTGAACACGTACGAGCTGCTCAGGAGGGAGATCGCGTCGTACTTGGAGGCCAGGACGGGTGCTCGACTTCGAGACGCCCCGGTGCTCACCAAGACGCAGCGCGACCCCAACGCCATGGACATCGGCGCCCTGGTCCGCACGTACCAGGGCGGGAAGGGCGGCAAGGACAAGGGCGGCAAGGGCAAGACGGGCACTGGCAAAGGGAAGGACGACAAGGTCAAGAAGGGAGGCAAGGGCTCAGGCCCAGGCTCAGGCAAGGGGCCCGACACGTCCCACCTCACCTGCTGGAACTGCGGGCGTTCAGGGCACAAGAGCTCGGACTGCTGGAGACCGTCTGCCTCGGCGGAGGTGATCGCCAAGGCTAAGGCTAAGGCTAAGGGCAAGCAGAAGCCGAAGGGCGGCGGCAAGCACGACGCGGGCGCGCTGGACGTCGGGAAGTCCGAGGAGGAGGCCCCTGGCAACTGGGACCCAGAGGACCGCATGTTCCTGGAGCTGTTCTCCGCCGAGCGCGAAGAGAACGCGAAGGAGGTGAACAGGAGGATCGTGGACGACAAGGGCTGGGTGAAGGTCAACTTCGACAGCGGATGCGCGAGCTCGGTGATCCCCCGCGAATGGACTCCAGCGACTTCGGCCCCTTCGAGTCAGAGGTTCAAGACGGCGAGTGGTGGTATCATCGCAGACGAGGGCGGCGGCGTGCTGGAGGGCATCAACGAGAATGGCGGTAGGATGCGCATCGCCGGGCGCAGGGCTGCGGTTACCAAACCCCTCATCTCGGCCAGCGAGATGCTCAACAAGAGGATCGGCATCCTGGACGAGAGCTGTGGCATGGTGATTGAGAAGGGCTCCACTGCCGGACGGGCGATCATGAAGCTGGTCGCTGAGCTCAAGGAGGCGGGAGCGCTGGAGAACAACATCAGGTTGCATCAGGAGCGCGGTGTGTACAACGCCTACCTGAAGCTGCCGGAGGAGAAGGCCAAGGAGCTGGAGCAGTTGCCGCTGAACACGATCGAGTCGGAGCTGGCCCATCGCCGAGCCGAGGCGGATCTACTCGCTCGAGCACGTGCGGGGCTTGCTTCGCCGGCGCGTCTTCCCGCCTTGCAGGCGTCGGGGGGCAGCCGGCGGGTGCCACCGTAAGCCCGGGCGCGCCGCCAGCAGCCGGGCAGCTGGCAGGAGGCGCGGAAGCCCCGGTGGAGCAGCGAGGAGGACCGCTGCCCCAGGAGGAGGAGGCTCGAGAGCAGCGCGGCAGGCCGCCGCGGGTTCGGCTGGCCAGGAGCCCCGCCCAGCCGACCGCTCTCGAGATCGAGGAGCACGAGGCGCAGGGCCACGTCCACTTTAGGTCCTGGTGCCCTTCGTGCTGTGCGTCACGTGGGACTGGCCAAGCGCATCGCGGACATCAACCTGCTGAGGGAGAGGCCCCTACGGTCGTCACCGACTACGGCTACCTCAACGCTAGCGAGTCGGACAGCAGAGGCCGCGACGTCAGCTCTGCGATCACGGTGTTGGTGATGCACGACTGCTTGCCGACCGGGACGGGCTGCTACGGCGCGAGCTCGGTCCCTGCCAAGGGGAAGGACGACTTCAGCTCGGGCGTGGCGGTCGACTTCTTCAATCACATAGGCCACAAGAGGTGCATCTACCAGTCGGACGGCGAGAACCCGCTGCTGGCGCTTAAGAGGGGCGTCTGCAGCAAGGCCGAGGGGAAAGAGCTGCTGCTTCGCGAGAGCCCGGTGGGAGAGCACCAGGCGAATGGAGCAGCCGAGAACGCGGTGAAGGTCATCGAGGGCGTCGTCAGGACGGTGCTGGTGTCAGCCCAGGCCAAGTGGAAGCAGCGTCTGCCGTTCGGGCACCCGCTGATGCTGTGGGCCCCCACCTATGCAGCCCAGATGCTGAATAGGTTCAAGATCGGCGACGACGGTAAGACGAGTGAGCAGAGGAGGTCTGGCAAGCGCTGGGAGAAGGTGACGGTTCCCTTCGGCGAGCGCATCCAGGTGAAGAAGCTGGTGAAGGACTCGCTCAAGCGCGACCTGGAACCCCGCTGGGTCACGGGCTACTACGTGGGCCACACCAGCAGGAGCGGCACGGCGCTGGTGCTCACCTCGAAGGGGGTGCAGCGCGGCACGGCGATCTCACGCCTGCCGCCCGCCGAGCGCTGGGCCTGGAACGAGGAGGAGGTCCTCGGGCTCAAAGGCAAGCCTTGGGACTGGAAGGGCGGCGAGGAGCGCTACGCGGCAGCTCCTGCGGACGTCGCCCCGAGAGCTGGGCGCATGGAGGCGCCAGTGGTGGTGGCGCTGCCAGCAGCCGCCGAGTCTCGAGACGTGGGCTTCTACGTCACCAGGGCCAACATCCTGGACGCGGGCATCGGGCCGACCGAGGGCTGCGTCGCCTGCGAGAACCTAGTGGCCACTGGGCGCGCAGGAGTTGCCCACTCTGAGCTGTGCCGACAGCGCGTGATTGAGGCGCTGGCAGCTCGAGGTGACGAGCGACTTCGCCGGTTCAGGGAGGCGAAGGCGGCTGAGGAGGAGCAGGCGAGAGGAGGCGAGGCAGGCCGAGCGGCGCCAGGAGCCGCCGCCGCCGCGCCGCCTCCCCCACCAGCCCCGAGAGATCTCGAGGGCAGGAGAGGCGCGAAGCAGGCGCGGGCGGAGCCGCCGCCCGTGGGGTCTTCGGCGCCGCGCGTCAGGAGGCGTGAGGAGGAGCAGCCGCCCCAGGAGGCGCGCGCAGCCCCCCAGCCTATGGCGGTGGACCTTCGGGGCGCGGCCCCGAGGCCAGCAGGAGGAGGTGCAGGAGCGCCGCTCGCGCTCCCTACGCCGGCCGGGTTAACGTCGCTCCAAACGGGCCCGGCCGGGTTAACGTCACCCCAAACGGGCCCTGGAGGCCCGGCGCCAGCATCCGCGGCGGCTTCGGGCTCGGGAGGCCCGGCGCCGGCGGCGGCAGCACCAGGCCCAGGAGGCGCTGGACCTGCTGCCATGGAGACGGGCGGACTCGAGGAAGTGCCGCTCGAGTTGCAGTCGCTCGCGTTCTCGGAGTACTGCAACCCAGGATGCTTCACTGAGCTTGCTGGGGAGTTTGGCATGCTCCCAGGGCTAGCGGCGGACATCAGCCTCAAGGACCGGGAGTCCCAGGAGGCGCTGGACATGAGGAAGGTCGTGAACCAGCAGAGGTACATGCAGGCGCTCGAGGACCAGGACCCCTACTTGGTCATCGGGGCGCCGCCCTGCGCGCGCGTCTCGAAGCTGACGAGCTTGAACCGCGGCAAGTACAAGGACCCGGAGGCGCACGCCAAGGCCGAGGAGGACGATCGTGTGCTGCTTCGCTTCGGGATGGAGGTCTACAAGGATCGTCACGCCAAGGGCAGGTGGTTCTTGCACGAGCACCCTTGGGACGCCAAGTCGTGGGACGACGAGGCGGTGAAGGGGGTGGTCTCGCTCCCTGGGGTGTACCTCGTGCGAGGGGACATGTGCGCCTGGGGCCTGGAGCTCAAGGGCGATGACGGGAAGGTCGGGCCAGTCAAGAAGAGCACCGGCTGGCTGACCAACAACGAGCGCCTTGCTAAGGTGCTAGCAGTCTGTTGTCCTGGAGGACATCGACACGTACCGCTGCTTGGCGGAGGCCGTGCTCGGAAGGCGCAGGCCTACACGCCTTCGCTACGCCGCGCGATCTTGCAGGGGCTCAAGGAGGAGCTCGAGATCGCGGGCGAGATCAACTCGTTCGAGGGCGTCGGACCGGTGCCAGACGAGGAGGCGCAGTACTTCAAGCCAGACGCCCCTCCAGGTGCAGCTGAGTCGGACAAGTGGTACTGGGGCGACGTCAACGGGGGCTGGCTCGACCCTGCGGGAGTGCGGGCCGCGCGCCAGGAGGAGCTGGCCTGGATGAAGCATCGCGAGGTGTTCGAGCCGAGCGACGAGGAGACCTGCAGGCGCCTGACCGCTCGGGCGCCGCTACGGACGCGCTGGGTCGACACCAACAAGGGCGACGAGCAGAGGCCAAAGTACCGCTCCAGACTGGTCGCGATGGAGATCAAGGCTGCGAAGAAGGCGTCCGAGCAGATGAGCGCGAGCGAGCTCTTCAGCAGCACGCCGCCGCTGGAGGCGGTCAAGCTCCTGTGTTCGCTCATGGTCTCGATGAGCCGCTCGCCCCGAGGACTCCCCCTCAAGATCGGCTTCTGGGACGTCAGCAGGGCGCACCTGTACGGGGACGCCCAGAGGATCTTGTTCGTTCGTCTTCCTGAAGAGGAGGGGGGAGGAGTCGCTCGGCTGCTACGCTCCATGTATGGTACTCAGGACGCGGCTTCAGTGTGGTAGAGCGACTGGAGTCGACAGCTCTTGGAAGATTCGTGGCGCATGGGCGTGGCAAGCCCAGCTGTGTTCTATCGCTCCAGTGATGAAGGTCGCGGGTTGGCTCACGGCGACGACTTCGTGGTGCTCGGCGACGAGATCACGCTGAAGGAGATCGAGACGAAGCTGACCGAGCGCTACGACATCAAGTGCACCGGGATCTTGGGCCCCGACAGCGGGGGCGCGAAGGAGGTCGTGTTCCTCAACAGGGTGTTGCGGTACGTTGACGGCTCCACCCCGGCGGTGGAGATCGAGTCGGACCAGAGGCACGTTGAGCTGCTGATCAAGGAGCTGGGCCTCGAGAACGAGTCGAAGGGCTTGGACGTGCCGTCGGTCAAGAAGACGGAGGCGGACATCGACTACGAGGCCAAGCTCAGCACGCTGCCCCCGGACGAGGTCCGTCGGTATCGAAGCGTGGTGATGCGTGCCGCCTATCTCACCTTGGACAGGCCGGACATCGTCGACGCGGTCAAGCAGTGTTCGAGGCGCATGCAGGCGCCGACGTCAGCAGACATGATGATGGCCAAGAGGCTTGGGAGGTACCTCGTCAAGCATCCGTGTCTAGTCGCAAGGTTCAACAAGCAGAAGATGCCGGACAGGATCACGGCCACCTGCGACTCGGACTACGCGGGGTGCCTCATCACCAGGAAGTCAACCAGCGGGACGGTCTTGGCGTTCGGGGAGCACACTCTGTCGGCCACGGGATCGCTGCAGAGCACGGTGTCCCTTTCGAGCGGCGGGGCTGAGTACTATGGCATCCTCCGTGCGGCTGCCGCCGCGCTCAAGGTTGCTGCCATCGCCGTGGACCTCGGGCTCGAGAAGAGCGTCGAGGTCGTCTGCAAGCACGGAGAGTTCCCGATCGAGGTATGCGGGGACTCGACGGCGGCGATCGCTTTCGCATCGCGCCAGGGCCTGGGCCGCCAGAAGCATGTGGCTTCAAAGCGGGGTCAAGGCCAGAAGGATCATACTCAAGAAGGTCGACACGCGGGAGAACGTAGCCGATTCCCTGACCAAGCCGTTGTCGGCGAAGGTGGTCCAGAAGCATCTCAAGAGGATGGGCTACCATTTCAGGTCGAGGTGGAGCGCCCTGCACCGGACGATCGCCAAGAGATCGGCGACGTGAGGTTCATGAGCGGGGTGCTGTGCTGGCTTTTCGAGACGGGCACGTTGCCTGTCCCACCATTTTTCCTGTCGCTTCGCGACGCCTTGCACGACCGGCCTGTGCGGCGAGACGGTGCCTGGTGGTGGCTGCCTAGCTTCGGGGCTAGTTGCCAAGGAGGAGTGCAGAGATAGGGCACCGTCGGATTCTATGTACGATAGCCATTTGGCCCCAGAGGCTTTCGGCTTGGATCGGACTGAGAAAAGCATCAGCAGTTTCTCTCTTCAATCCGTGAAGACTGTTTGCGTTATCGGGAGCGAATGCGCGCGGCGCTATGGTGGGAGCCACATTTTGAAACGGAGCCTCCCTCAATCCGTGACAACTATGTGCATTATAAAAAAGCGAATGCGCGCGGCGCCAAGGGGAGAGCCACATGTTGGAAAGGAGCCGCCCTCAATCCGTGAAGCTCCTACGAGCGCGGCGCGAAGGCGAGAGCCACGTTTTGAAAACGGCCCGCCTTCGATCCGTGAGAGTCTCTCAAATGATTTAAACAGATGTGCGCGGCGCTGCGGCGAGAGCCACATTTTGAAAACCGCCCGCCCTCCAGCTGTGAAGTGGTTGTCAGTTTTAAGCTTCAGAATCGTACATGGTGAGGAAGTCACCGGCGAAACGCCCGGCCCGCCGTACAAACTAGCCTCGGGGTGCGAAAAGGACAAGGTTATTCATGAGGAAACCAACTGAGTGAACGCCAGGAGGACGAGAGGGAACATCATCGAAGAGCAGGAGCAGCAGGAGCAGGCGGCCGCGACCACAGGAATCGCACCCAGAGCCGCGGCAGCGTGGACTCGACGACGTCGCGCTGGCCGCCGCGCGGTGGCAGCAGGCCCCCGCCGCTCGCTGCTGTCGCCCGCCGCCACCCCTCGGCGGCGCGCAGCAGGAAGATCGCGGATGGTCGTTTTCATTGCCGTCATTGCCATCGTCGTCGTCACTGTTGTTATTGCGACTCCGACGCAGTTCATTTGGCTCCCATCCGGAGGGCCAGCTACAGCCAATTTTCCTTCTCAAGGGGGGAAGGGGGCCTTTAGCGGGTGCACCCGCGAAGCCCTGACCGAGAGTTTCACATGCTTATTGTTGGGAGACTTCCCAGAAAGGTCTCGTCGTTGCCGCTGGATTCCCCTTCGAAGTTCTGGTCAGAGCACGACCCTGGAGAGGTATGGGAGCATTTTTTTGTTCAGGCGGGCCCAGGCCTTCCAGTTTGGCGGCGCGCAGACCGAGGTGGCGCGCGGGGTGGGGGGAAGGTCTAGCAGGGCAGTGATGTTTCTAAACATATACAGGAGACTTCTAAGAAACCTTCCCTCGATATACAAAAATGGCATAAACGTAATTTATTTGAGTTCTGCGCGGGCTTTTTCGGATTGGCGCTGGGCCCCGTCCAAGGAGACTCAAATAGCCCAAGGGAGCTTCTGGATGCTTCCCAGATCGGCCTCGAGAGCCTCTCCTGGAATCTCGGGGAAAACGGGAACCGAGCCTTTGCCTTAGAGAGGGTTTCACACCAGGCTTTTTGTGAGGATTATCTCTCGACCTCCACTGGCCCCATAGGGAAGCCCGAGGGTACCCCGAGGAGAGGGTCCCAGGATGCCCCGAAGGCAACCCGAGATCGCCCCCACGGGCCCCATGAGGCCCCATGGGGCCCATCCAGGGCTTCAGGACGATACCACGTGCTTCATTCGCCTACCACGGGCCCGGGAAAACTCAAGATGGCCCCACTTTCCTCCAATTTGGTTCCACAAGGCCCCTCCGGGGACCTTGGGGCACACGCGTTCCAATGCTTCATTGTCTCAAATTGGGGGTTTGCGCTGCGCTCGCTCATTTTGGGATAAACCTGTCGACGGTGCTCCAGATTAATGGTTTTCCGTGCAAGGGATCCGAGAGTGTCCAACAAATGCCCCATTACAGCTCCAGGCTGTCCTCCACTAGCGCCTGGTACGCGTCTGGTCGTTTTGTCTGATTGCTTTCCTTGGGCCCTCTGCCCCAGATGTGGGCCCCATGCCGTGTCTGAGGGGACGTGGGGGAGGACAAGGACATGGGCGATCGGAAGGCGGAGGGGGCCGAAGGCTACGCTGAAGGAGAAGTCGGACCTCGGCACCACTGGCCTTGTTCCCGCTGTCGGTCGCGCTGCTCGTTCGGACCCCCGAGTTGCGGCCCAGATGTCGGCGTGTGCGTCCCAGAGTATCGGAGGGCACCAATTATACACCAACACCGATCCTGGCCAGGATCACCCTGGGCCCAGGATCGGTGTATACGCCCTCCTGCCTGGGGCAGGAAGGCATATACACCGATCCTGGGCCCAGGATTGGCCTGGCCAAGATCGGTGTAGGTGTATAGTTGGTGCCCTCCCAGAGTAGTGCTACAAGTTGCTCTTTGCCGGTGTTGCCGTCGATGTAAGGCGACCCCTGCAGGGAGTCTGCCTGCCAGCGTGGGCAGCACTGCCAATCCCCATGGTGTCGCAGCTGTATTTTAGGACGCGCTTGTTTGTCGGTCGTCTGTAGAGAATCTCGGGGGCAACAGTGTCAGCAAGAGCAATGCTCCGGCCCCACCCATTTGTGGCGCCGTGCCGAGGTCAAGATCAAGCCTGGGATGCAAAACCTGTCCGCGCAGAATGCCTAACGTGCAGCGCAGTTGGAGAAGCGCGGAAGAGGGGGCACCGCGCCTGGTGTACCAACCGAGTGTCAGCAGCAGGATCAGCCGCGAGTCCGGCATTGCCAGCGACTCCGAAAAAGACGGGAGCTCCTGGATTACAAGCCGCATGCGGTTGCCAGCCTCAACCCGTCCTTCGCAGCGTCAGTCGCGATGGGTGCCTGGCAAGTCACTGTGCAACCTCGACTCATCACAGCTCGCCCAGGAGTGCACCTACGCAGCGCTGGAGATGGAACCTGTCTGCGTACCAGTCAGCGCCATTCGGGGATGGGTACAGACCGGGCGCGGCCGCCACTTCACTTTGGGGAACCTGGGAGCAACCAGTGAACGAGCGAAGGGGGGTGCCCGCGCCAGCGCCTCCGACGCGATCCGCTGCTTCTTCATCGGGAACCGCTTTACATCCAACGACGGCGGCGCTGGAGGCCGCCGGTCAGCACGGCTAGTTTTGGCGACGCGGCTCAAGATCGACCGCGACGGCATCCGCCTGGGCGTCGCTGAGAGGAGGGGGATCATCGTGGCGCAACGGAGGGGGCGAGCCAAGGGGGTGGCCAAGAACGACCTGATCAACCTCGACCCACCCCGCGCGGTCCCCAACGGACAAGAGACCACCGACGCTCATCATATTCACAATTTCCGATCGATGCAAGTTTACAGAACACTCGCACCAAAACCACCGACGAGGACGATAGCTAGATCTTGCAGGCCGCCAGCGTGTTCGGCAACGTCAAAGAGGGCAGCGGTTCATTCCCGCTGCTGTCATACTTGGCGGACGGGCTGGTTGATTGCGGAGCCAGGGCCACGCGCCCGCGCAGCGACAGCCTGATCTTATGTGCGCGCAATGTGCGCATGACGCTTCAGACGTGCTCTGGGCTGCATGCGCGCGAAGGCGACCATGAAGGCAGCCTTGTTCCCTTCGTGGAGGTTCACGGCGACGAGTTGGATCACCACCGGGGGGGGGGTATTTCAAGATGCGAATTCAAATTGGGGCCGCCGTCGAACCGCGGTCCGAGAACGCCGCCAATGGGCAACGCTGAGTGGCGCCGATCCGCCGACGTCGAGGTCGGAGCTGACTTAGAGATTGGCACGACTAGCCCAACCAGCATCGCCCCAGTCGAGGTCCCCATGGTGCGACGGCCCCCACCACGGGAAGTGCTTTACTCGATCTAACACGTGAGTTGCATTGTTCGCGGATGCGCGCGAGTTACGACGGCGGACATCAGGGGCCTCTGGTTGCGAATTGACGGCGACCGTCGCAATGGGTGGCGCGTGAGGCCCTCGCAGCCAAGCGGTGCTATTGTTACAGCGCCGTTGACGACGTCAATGAAGCCTTGCTGGACCCCGTGGCGATCGCGCCGCACAGATCGGGATCGCGCCATGGGCGGTTGAGAGCGAGGGCGCTTGCGCCCACCCCCGCGGAGCAGCGGCCCCAATCCCCAGGCGCCCCCGAACAGACGCCATGCAATTAACGCCGCGCCGGAACCCCAAGCACATTGCGATCCCCCGCCGGCAACATCCCCGCCACCACCAGCATGCCCGTCAGATCGCCGACGGTGGACCCTCAATGACATGGCAACGAAGCTGCGGGAGCTGGGGGCCTGCCATTCAACCGGTCGCATGGGCGAGCAAGGGGGCCGCGCGTCGTGCACGGGCCGCTCCGCGCATCCATTTCGCTTGTGCGCCCGCGCCCGTGGATCGTCTGCGCCGATGGAAACGCGGGGCCTTTCTTCAAGCAGGTCTACTTTTTAAGCGCCGAGACCCCTGGTCATCCTGGACAGACCCCGGCAACTACCTATTCGCGCCCTGTTGGAAGCGGGTCTCTTCGAGAACCGACGACGAGTTCCTCGACGACGCATCCGAGAGCAGGAGCGCCGTCGCTACCTGCCCGGTCCGTCCTCGTCGACATTTTCGCCGTGGGCGAGCAGGTGGCCGGGCGCAGCGGCGGCGACGGCCCCACCGAAGGACAACTCGACGCCATCGCCGCAGGCGCGACCGCAGTCGAGCTCTTCGACCACCGAAAAGGACGACCCGAGATCGACGCCTTCACCCAAGGCATCATCAATATCAGACGCGACAGCTCACTGCACGAGGAAGGCATCGTAAGGGTCATCTCGAAGATTCAGACGGCGGTCTCCTCCACGGCGCCAGACCACTCCGACGCGACTCGCGCGCAACCTCGCGCGGCCGTGCCGGCGGAACCGACGCCCCGCGCCGCGGCGCCGACGCCGGCGAAGCCCGCGGCCGGACATCCATCCGTTCGCCAATTTGACCGCCGACGCACCAGAGCATGCCCCGTCGGCGCCCGACCGCACAACCGCCCGACACCTTAA